GGTTAGTAAAATTCCAATGGTGAAAAAAAAAAGGTTTTCATTTTATTGTTTAACATCTTCTTCATTTTAAACTCCTTCTTTATTATTGTTTAGAAATAAAATATTTACCTATTTTTCCAATTTTATTTTATTTTTTAAATGTGATATAGAAGATAAACACGCACGGTGCTTCAAATGATAAAAGGCACTTGCGCACAACATATATTTTATTTTCTTATCAATATTATGGATGATGTCCCATTAAGATAATTGAAAAATTTTAGTTTCTAATCCATGTCATTATTATTTACCTATACCATTAATTGATATTACTTAATTCCTAAAAATGGTTCACGTGAAAGAAAGAAAAAAAAATAACAAGTTGAAAGTCAAGGCTCATAAGATGCTTCTCTAAATTATATGTACCTTTGTGTAAAAGCATTGATTTCTTGTTCTCTTTTTCCGTCTTCTCAAGACGCTATGTGATTTAAGGTTTACAAATCTCAGTCTCTTAATGGACCCAAATGGCCCATTCTCTAAAAATGAATTTCCTTAAACTTAAGCCCATTATTAACTAAACCTTATCTAATTATTAAAATAATTACTAAATCAAAAGAGGACATAGGAAAAGGAGCATATGAGATCAGGAACTTTCCCACATGAATCAATCATAAAATGACAGAGACAACATTCACAAACTCGTGTTACTTTCTTGTCAATAATTGGTCTGCAACATCGAAGTGTGTATTTTGAATGAAACCTTTTCATCACACACACCTGTCTCCCTGATTTTAAAATGACTACTTGACCCACCTAAATAAAATAGTTGAAATCCGCATTATCAAAAGGTAGTGGCTTGAATAAATTTATGGGTAAAGGTAGGATGAGAAAGGGGGTTATCTCCATCATTTCGTGTGAAATTGGTGTATTGAATACTACTTTTAGTTCATTTTTTATTAGCTCCATTTTTTTACAAACAACAACTTCTGAAATGCATTAAATAATTAATATAGTGTGAGAGAACCCAGAAAATAGTTAATGAATAAGAGCATAGCATTCTCGGAGACAAAAAAAAATAAGTAGCTTTTGAATGTGGACCATAAAAAATAGTTGGTTCTTGTCGTACAAGTAATGGTGTAGCTATTTAGGTCATATATGGCTGCCCAATTTATGCCTACCATTCACGTATGCTCCAATTCCCACAACTTTATCAGTTGACTTTATCAAAATTGAATTGTTTTAATATATAAACCGTATGTTTAGAATATAATTTCAAACTTAGTAAAAAAATCTTATTAAAAAAATATATAACAATTTAAAAATACATTTATCTAATTATATGAATTCATTAATCGCATATATCAATTGATGATGTGGTTAAGCAGGTTATGGTTTAAATTATTTTTAATTTTATTGAAAAAATATATTATGATCCTTACAAAAATTGTATATATTATCCTATGACTAATTTTATGATTCCTTCCCTCTTTTTACATATTAGTGAATTACTGAAACAAAATGATATTGAATATATATATATATATATATATATATATATATATATATATATATATATGTCAAATAAACGTAACAGAAAAAAACAAAAAAATCTTTCCAATGCTTAAAAAAAGCAGGACTTTGTTGCATTTGTTAAAATTGAAAATCAAACATACATCAAAGGGAGTTGCACGATATTTAAGAAAACATAGATTCTTTTTATTTTAACATAATAGTTTAAAAAGTTTTTTTTATTCTATTTTCTTTTCATAATTTCAAACTTTTGATTAAGTTTCTATTAATTAAGAATTTTTGATTATTTTTTCATAATTTAAAAAATCATTATTTCAAATAAAAGGAGTATTATTATTTTTTATCATTATAAGTAATCTATATATTATATATATATTACAGTTTTGATATTACAATTTATATAATATTATGTCATTAAATTTATTTTGATGGAAGTACCACCTCATTGCCTTCTATTTTTAAATGTATTTTAAAGTTGAATAAGATAAAGTAAGATAAATATTAACTTTTTATTGTACTTTTATTTTTTCCTTTTAACTTTTTTAATAATTTTTTTACAATAAAAAATTAAACATATAAAAGGATAATTAGTAAAAAGACAATTGATATATTCTTAAATTTATAAATAATAGATATTTAAAATTTTCTCATGAAAACCATGTATATATATATTTAGAAAAGAGGAGTATAATAATGAGGTAACAACAATTTAAATTATTATTACCTTTAAAACTTTTATCCCAACTATTTTGTGCAATTAGCTAATCAATTCAGGGATTCTGATCACTTTGATGCAATCTTCAAAGCAATTTTTTGCTAAAATATTCTTAATAAATGATAATAAAAAAAGTCCAACGGTGGTTTTTCTTTTATAACATGCTTTAGAATATGTTAAAGCACTTTTGTTTGTTCTTTAACGGTCACCTGTGAGGGAGCGTAGTAACGTAAACCATCGATATCTGATTTCATTTCTTTGATTTTCCTTTTTAATCTTAAATTAAATGTTTCCAACTGTCTGAACAGTTTCTCTCTTACATCATCCATTTCTTCTTATAAATCTACCAAAAAAATCATATTTCACGTATCATTTAAATACGTAAACAATAAATTAATGGTCTCAAATTGATATAAATCAATAGAAACTAAACTTTTCAATAAGTCTCACATAAAATGATGATAGGACAAATAAAATATTATTATTTCATTTATATTCATTCAAAATGGGTTGTTTGACCCAGTCCTATATTCTATAAGGATTTAAATAATTTAAAATTTAAAATTTTTCATAGATATTCAAAATTTATTTGTTTATCTTTTAAAATATGTATTTTATATATCTTTTTTGCTCTATTTATTTTTTCAGTCCTCACATTTAATAAAACTATTTTATTCCCCAATATACCATCACCCGAACTAAATATACATAATTTTTGCAATTTCTAAGCTTAAAAAATAAAATTAAAACTGAAATTAGCAACATTCACATTACAAAAGCGGGAAAAATATTTAAACCCACCCAATGAACATAAATTCGATAAAAAAATAAAATTATGACTGTCATTTTAAATTTTACATTGATTAGGAAAAAAAATCTCAATGTAAATTTTAGAATAGTTAATGATGAGTAAAATATAGTGACAGATATATAAAATTTATACGGTTTTTTTTTATTAATTACTCTCTAATTAAATTAAAGTTGTGCTTTAATAACTTGTACTACTGTTTGATGGAAACTTGTATTATATGGAATATCAAAATAAAGTTGTAATTCCAATTAGGAAATAATCCAAAAACACTTAGAAAACTTTGATATGATAATGAGATAAAACATAATGTAATGAAGTGGAATGCAATGAATAAAATAAAATCACTTTTCATTAATACTTTTATAACTAAACTAGACAAAATTAATTCAATATAAAGTATTTTTACGTTGCTGTTATTATATTACAAATATCATATGTTAAATTTTTTAATGATTAAAATAATTATTTTAAAAATTGTATCCTTAAAAAATATCTTGATAAATTAAAGAAGGATGCATATAAATTATTTTTAATCTGAAGAGATATTAATATGTTAGAAAAATATTAATAATATATTTTTATTAATTTATATATTTACATGGCAATCAATCTTACAAATAATTTAATTTTAAAAAATTATTCAAATAAAAAGTATAAATATTAATTATGAAAATACAATTTTATTTCATTTTTTTCTATCTTCTTCACTCATTTTTATTTTTCTCTTATTTTTTTAATCGTCTTTCTGGTCTTCTGCTCCTTTTTATTTACTTTTTATTTATGTATAAAATAAAAAAATTATTATATATATATATATATATATATATATTAAGAAATAGTGGTAGAAATAATAAGTTTGTGCCTACTTTCATAGTTAATATACTTTTCATGAATGGGTAGTTTTATTAGAAGTAAATAAGACATTTATAAAATTAACCATTATATACACTAAATTTGTAGGGGGTGTATAGAATATTATCAAATAATAAATATTATTTATATATATATATTCCTGAATTAACACCTAATATATCTGATTAAGCTGCATAGTCATTAGATAGTTGTAAATGCATAAGTTAAACATCAATAGTTACAAAAGAAAATGACAAATTATAATTATAAATATAAAGCACTGCACACCAGGCAGAACATTCAAATGAGTCTGAAGCAGCGCAGTACCTCTCACTTTCTGCTTCCAAATACACAAAGCCAGCAAATGTGTCCACAAAAATCCAAAAGGGACTTATTTACAACGGCAATATTCTCAATTATGTCATGTGATGCTGTATTTTCCAATAATAGAGTTACAAAACAACCACTCATTCTAAATACTCTTACTTTTCTTACTTAATTCCTATACTTCATCAATCAACATTCAACAATTTGTTTTTTTTTTTTTTACTTAATATTTTATGATTAATAACAATATAAAAATTATTCCATGAGAGTTTATGGTCACATGCTTTGCTCGCTGCCCTAAAAAAGCTATGGAATCAATCAGCCATCTCCTGCAACCACACTCCCACCAAAAATACAAATCAACACAAAAGTATTGTAAACTATATTTAAATATTTTTTTTCATTAATAGATTTATGAATTTTCCTTATAATTTTAATAAAGTTTTTATGGTTTAGGGTTTTATGTTAAACTTTGAATAAACTATGTATTATGCGGACACAAGTCTTAATTAATCGCATAGCTTTCTATTACTTAATATCTTGTGTTTTTCTCTTTATTCTAATGGGGGAGTATACGAAAAGTGTGAGAAGATAAATGTTCGTTCTCTTACAGTTAATTAACCAAACACAAGGATTGTGAGGCAATTTTGTATAATAATGATAATAATAATATAAGAAAGCATTATTATTCTAAAGTCAACTTGGGAGGTCTAACAATCTTAGCTGGGGACATTTAAGAGACCGCAGAGGTTGCAACGAGCGATCACAATTCTCCTCCCCTGAACAATGTCTCCTCCTTCTTTTCTATTCCCTCAAACTCAATCCACAGTCCTCCCAGACCCTTCAACCTACTTCTCACCAAACCTCCTTTCATCTCCACTCCCTACAAACTCTTTCTTCCAAAACCTTGTTATTCCAAATGGAACACAGCCTGAGTACTTTCACCCCTACCACATTCAGTCATCAAACTCCTCACTCTCTGCCTCCTACCCTTTTCTCTTCTTTACCGCAGCTGTGTTGTACCAAGTTTTTGTCCCAGATCTCACCATCTCTGCCTCTCAAACATACTCATATGGACAAAACCGTGTAATCTCATCCTACAGTGACCTTGGTGTCACTTTGGACATTCCCACTTCCAACCTCAGGTTCTTTCTTGTCAGAGGAAGCCCTTTCATAACTGCTTCTGTGACAAAGCCAACCTCGCTTTCCATCACAACGGTGCACACCATTGTTTCTTTGTCTTCCTATGATGCCAACACCAAGTTCATCCTTCAGCTTAATAACACTCAGACATGGCTCATATACACCTCCTCCCCAATCTATTTGAACCATGCTGCTTCTGAGGTTACATCCAAGCCCTATTCTGGCATCATTCGCATAGCAGCGCTGCCTGATTCCAACCCCAACAATGTGGCAACTCTTGACAAGTTCAGTTCTTGTTACCCTGTGTCGGGTGATGCAGCACTCAAGAAACCTTTCCGTTTGGAGTATAAATGGCAAAAGAAAAGCTCTGGGGACTTGCTCATGCTTGCTCACCCTCTTCATGCTAAGCTTCTATCATATGATCGTAACGTTACCGTTCTGCACGATTTTAAGTATAGAAGTGTTGATGGTGATCTTGTTGGCGTTGTGGGGGATTCGTGGGTGTTGGAGACGGATCCTATTCCTGTGACATGGCATTCTAACAAGGGCATCAATAAAGAGTCACTTGGTGAGATTGTCTCCGCGCTTTATAAGGATGTCAAGGAGCTAAATTCTTCTGCGATAACAACAAATTCATCTTATTTCTATGGGAAGCTTGTTGGAAGGGCTGCAAGGCTAGCCTTGATAGCAGAAGAAGTATCTTATCCTAAAGTGATTCCCAAGGTTACAAAGTTTCTGAAGGAAACCATTGAGCCCTGGTTGGATGGAACTTTTAAAGGGAATGGTTTCCTATACGAAAGAAAATGGCGTGGACTTGTTACCGAACAAGGCTCCACAGATTCAACTGCTGATTTTGGGTTTGGAATCTATAACGATCACCATTTTCATTTGGGGTACTTCCTTTATGGAATTGCAGTTCTTGCAAAGATTGACCCTGCCTGGGGCAAAAAGTACAAACCACAAGCTTATGCACTTGTGACAGATTTTATGAACTTGGGCCAAAGGTATAACTCAGATTATCCACGCCTAAGATGTTTTGACCTTTATACGTTACACTCTTGGGCTTCGGGGTTGACTGAATTTGAAGATGGGAGGAATCAGGAAAGTACAAGTGAAGCTGTAAATGCATACTATGCAGCAGCATTGATCGGTCTAGCTTATGGTGATAGCCGTCTTGTTGATACTGGATCGACACTGTTAGCATTGGAAATTCGTGCTACACAAACATGGTGGCATGTGAAAGTGGAAGACGATTTGTATGAAGAAGAATTTGCAAAAGATAACAGGATAGTGGGTATTCTGTGGGCTAACAAGAGGGACAGTAAGCTATGGTGGGCTCCTGCTGAGTGTAGAGAGTGTAGGCTTAGTATCCAAGTTCTACCCTTGTTGCCAGTCACTGAGACCTTGTTCTCTGATGCTGTTTATGCGAAGGAGCTTGTGGAATGGACACTGCCTTCTTTGAAGAATAAAACAAATGTAGAAGGCTGGAAGGGATTCACCTATGCCTTGCAAGGAATTTATGATAAAGGTACAGCATTGAAGAATATAAGAACGTTGAAAGGTTTTGATGATGGGAACTCATTCAGTAATCTCCAATGGTGGATTCACAGCAGATGAGGAGTGATGCAAATAAGTTTTTGGACAAGTCCATGCAGTCTTACTTTTCAGTTTGCTCCTTATCAACATTTTTCATTCACTGTATTTTATGAAATTCTACATCTCGTATCAGTTATTGTTAAAGTGGTGAGGTTTATTTAATTTTTTATATTTTTCAAGAATTTAATATAATAAAGTTGGCAGTTTAGCAGATTTTTCCTACTGTAATTAGAGGTTCAATTCCATGTAACTTTTGACAGAATTTCCAGAGCAGACAAAACTCTGTTTATGTTTGGTGTTGAGTGGTGTTGGAGCAGAAATAACAAATGATGTTGAAGCTTATTATTGAAACAAAGAAGGTATATAAAATCACCGGAGCGTGAAACTTCATCCTTTTAAGGAGAAATGAGTAGTTTTAATTTTGAAGAGTTTCGAAGGTTAATTTAATGGTCCAAAATGAATGATATGCCAACCTCATAATAGTAGTATAAAATTCTTCTAAAACAGAAGTATGTCAAAACAACTCATCAACAAGTCCAAATTGATCAAACGTTTAGTTTCACCAAAACGATCTGAACTCCTGATAATAATTTGTTCAGAAAAGTCACATTTGACTCAAACATTTCATAGAAAAATCTTCACATGTCAATTTGTACAACTGATCCCCATTTATTGTCCACTTGTGAATCCAAACAATAAAATCTGAATATGGAACATAATTAGAAGAAAAAAGTGTTATTGTTACCAAAATTAAAATTAAATGAGTTTCATTATCATTCAATAATTGTTACGAAAAGCGTATCAACCCAAGAAAAAAAAGGAAAAAGGAAGAGAAAACGCAAGACAATTTCTTTTTTAAATTAAATAAAAGTATATTATTATTTTTTATTTTCTCTTTCTATCATCCTTAGATCTTTAGTATGAGAGTACAAATATTTATGGATTAAACTGATTTTGAATAAATAAACAATTTAATTATTTTATTCTTTTAAAATTTATCATCTAATCTAACTAGTTTTGTCTATGATATAATTAGGACTACAGGTGAGAAAGAAGGTAATAGTGGGAGAGAAAGAATAAAGTTGGTCATGGTGAAACAAGGGACTTCACAATCAAAATAGAAGATGCATGTAAGATTTAGTCCTACACGTCGAAATGTTTCACCCTAAACGTAAGTTTTGCAAAGGAGAAGAACAGTGTTCTGCTTTCTCTAAATTGACTAAACTGAGAACTCTAGAGTATTTTGAGGGTATTTCTTGCATTTGGGATCTTTCTTTTTTAGGCAACCAACTGTTGGAAAAAAAAGGTGAATCCATACTCAACCAAACGAAGAAAAAAATGTGTGTATTGACGCACTTTATTATTAATTAAAATTATTAAACAAAATTATAAAATCATAAGTGGATTTCATTTGAAGAAAAAGAATAAGAATTACGTGAATTTTATATTAGACTAATTATTTAATTGATATATTTTGTAGATTTATGTTCATTTATTGATTACTATTGTTTAATCATCAACATATTAATTAGGGCGATAACAATAATAATAATTAATTATTATTATACAAATGGGAAGAAACCATTCTCTCATGTACTATTCAACAAACGGTTCAACCCTCATCATCTAGGATACATATTTTGTTATTATAATGTATTATGTAATTCAGTTCTTTCAGTTTTTTTTTTACAAGATTAGACTGGTTATAGGTGTTTGATATTTTAGTCTTTAAATAAACTTTTTAGATCAAACCATAGGAAATTATGTATTTTATCAAATATAAAATATAATACACAAACAATATAATTATATCTTCCAACATATTTTAAGATATAGTATTTTATTTTATATTATTTTTTTATAAAAAATAATATAAAACCTAATATATTACCAACACAAATAATATAATGTTAATTGGAAAAAATTAACAAATATTATGAAATTAAAAATAAACACTAACTACTGTCATTATCTTGTAATGAGAATAAAAACAACGACAACCTGAATAAGAAATCTGATTCTTTCATAATAATATATTATCTAACATCTCAATGATCTCAAGGATGAACAGAACTTAGACATAACATTCAGATTAGAAGTCAAGTGAGTTAAAGAGTGAACATAGATATCAGAGTAAAAATTAGATTACTCATGATTGGGTCGTTCTTCCTCTTATCCTCACAAGAAGTTCGGACTAACAACAATATGCTTCAATGGGTTTGCCACATCACCGCCACCTGCATGCTTAACAAATTCTGAAGGGGTGAGAAAACTGCCATGACAAACACACACTATCCTCACTTCCTCACCTTTTCCATACCGATAAAGAAAACCTTCTACTCTCTTTCCATTGGGACCATCACCTTTTGTCGATACACATGGCATGTCTTCCAACAAGTTCTTCACAATGTCTTTGGTTCTGTTATGTGGTGATAAATGTTTATTAGATTGATTTCTTATAGCTGCAGCATTCTTGACTGTGTTCCCTACCACATTTGCTTGGTCTGGTAACAAATTGGTACTAGTAGGACTTCTAACATCTATCGCTCCTGTAAATAATAGAATGGGTGATACACATACTATCAATTTTTGTTTTGATCTCAAGAATTAAGCCATCATCCATATACTAAAAGTTAATGATTAATCAAACAATCCATCTAATATCTTTGCACGACTTCTTCACATGGATAGTTTGTTTTAATTGATCTTATTCTTTAATCTTGTCTGATACTTATTAATTGACTGAATTTAATGGAAAGAAATATACTTTATATACTACTATTGTCAAATACTACATACAGATAGTGAAACTGAATGGGTTTTGAGGATATGAACTTCCTAACTATTGGAATTATCATCTAAAATGTTCAGTCAACATTAAGTAAAAGGACATCTTTCTGAATTCTTCTGTAATGCACATATAAGCATGTCAAATAGCAGTTAATTTACACACAACCCTTAATGAAAACTTACATTTACTGTGTAATCGTCATTATTATGTTTTTTTAAGGAAGAATTCACAATCCACTCAGAATATGGCCTAAACAAAGGATAATGAAAATTGCTCTAAATTAATTAGCATTACAAGATTAATTTTTTTTTTTTAACATTCATGTTTTTCCTACTTTATTTGATACTAAGCATGAAAAAAATTTCAACACAGTTGTCTCACTCCTAAAATTATCCTGAATTTTATTGGGTACGAAAGGACAAACAGGGTTCAAAACACCAGTATACTAAGCACCTGTATTCATTGTCTACAGCCATCATGCCTCTAAAGGATTCGTATCTGTAGAGAAAAAAGGTAGATATTTTTCTGCATCACCACTGCAGAGGATCCAAACTTGTACTACTATCCGTTTTTTCATTTTTTTTTTCCAGTCTAAAGCAAATAATTGAAATCCGACGTAGTAGAATAACTGCTGCTACAGGAGAAGAAAAATAATGACTGTCTCTTTATGTACAAGTATGTTCATGTCTAGTGTTATGTTTTACAATGTTGTCGTAAGTCTAGGTTTTGGAGACTTTCTCAACATAACACGTGTCAGCCCAAGCAATACACAAAGAACCACGGCGAGTGATACATACTAGACGAATGGAAATCAATTACCAATCGAAGATTATCATCTCAAATTAAAGGCTAAATACAGCTACTAATATTCCTACCTAACTAGTTGGGTTGTTACAAAAATTACTTAGCAAAATTGAACTACTAGGACAGAACTTTGATTTTTTGTGTTGATGCAGACATGATCTGACATCTGCGCCAGTGAATCCCACGGTCGGTGATTGCTCCATGTGACAAATACAATAAAATCCAAAAGCAAAAGCTCACTTATCTTGCTCATCACATCATGCAACAAATTAGCATCTATTAAGAAAAGCACCTAAATTTAGTTTTGGGTATAAAATGACAACCCAATTTTACAACCTAGGACAACCCCGCTGTGGGGAGACCTTTGTAGGTCTTACCTTCCATAAATTTAATTACTAGCAAGATTTGAAAAGTAAAAAATAAAAAACTGTAAAAAACATTTCACTCTTTTTCCTGCTTGATTGATGACTGGTATCCAACAGGAAAACACAAAGCAGGAAAAAGAACGAAGAGGACTATAAACAGAACAATTAAAGAAAGCAAACAAATGCAAAAACCCCTTGTAAAAAGGTGCAAAAATAGAGAATAGCACTAAATAATTATTACCTGGTTGACCTTGTTGAGACTCAGCTTCTGAGGTTGCCGAAGAACCAATGGATCCCTGCGAAGGTGATGGAGGAGCCAGCACTACGCCACTCTTCTCCTTCTTTTCTTTCTCACTGTCCCCATTCAAACCGAGTCCACAAACGCGTGTGGTCAACGACACGGTTCTCCCCAAGGGTGCACCCTCAACGTAAGCCCCTGCACCTTGTTCCGCAGTGTTATTATTACCTTCAGACCCAACCCTTTGTTGTTGTTGTTGTTGTTCTCTCGTAGCCTTCAAATTCCTCTGCTTCTCGGAGCGCTTCCTCCTTGCCTCCATGCGGCGCAGAGTCTGCAATTCCTTCCTCTTCCTCCACTCCTCCTCCGTCTCCGTCGGCAGGGAGCACGTCCTCACAAGAGGCCCCGTGCACCCCGCAGCAGCGTACCCCATCTCCTCGTCCCTTACGAACTCTGGAATCGACGTCGTTCTCTTTATCTTCTTCGCGGTGGGGTCCACCCCAAAGCGACCGTTCATCGAAAGCCCGAGACTTAGCTCCAACTCCTCTTCTTCCTCTAACTTCACCACCGACACAGGCAAATTGTGACGATTATCAGAGTGATTATGATGATGGTTCACTCCCATGAAGCTTCTTAACAGATCTCGGGGCAAATTGGTCATTGGAGATTGTGGTATTGCTGTGGGTGTTGAAGAAATGTAACGATGGTTGCTGTGAGTGTTGTCTCTGTCTTGAACTTATGCCATTGAAAGAAACTAAGAGAGAAAGAGAGGGGGTTTAAAACCTGGGAAAATCGTGAAATTGAAGGGGTGACTCTGTGCTGTGTTTGTGGGTAACTGAAGATGATTCGTTGTGAAACCGACCAATTCATACGTTTTCTTTTGTATTGAAGAATAAAAAAAGGGTGTGTTGCTACATTTTCTGAGTGTGTAGTTGTGAGAGGGAGAGAGAGAGAGAAAGTGTGAGGAAAAAAAGGGAATTAATGAGATCAAAGGGAAAAGGGACAAGAGTGAAAAGTGTGAAATGACGAGAATGGGGTTAAGGGATAAGGGGTCGACACGTGGAAAGAAGAGGGTAGTTTGGAGGGAACACGTGGCGAGAGAAAGGGTGGTGAGGTGGCGGGTACGAGGCGATTGTGTTGTTGGGTTGTGTTTGTCTTGTGGGAAGGGAAAGGTGGGTAGAGAAGAAGTGATTTGGAAATATGGGTGCGAGTTTCGATGCACACGTGTCGCTCCACTGGTGAGAGTGAAGAAAATCAACTCCACGTGATGGAACGAGAAGGTGACACGTATTAGATGGAATGAATGCTACATACAAAATATAGTCCACACCCACGCAACACCATTTTTTTTTTCTCAAAAGATAAAAAAATAAAACATATTTTTTTTTTTATCTATTCACATGAGTGATCAACTCAGATTTCATGTCATATATTTTATCTCGATTAATAATTTTCTAGCCTTCTTTATCTTTTAATTAATTTTGTGTTTAGGTCAAATAATAACAACAAATCAATGGAGTTGAATGAGGTACACAGGCAACTAGTTGAATTGAATGCTGAATCATCACACACTTTCATAGGCTATGACACCTTTCTTTGCAAATGCATGTTCCAGTGTTTTTGTCTTTTTTTAAGTACGTTTTCTACACTCTTTCAAGTTTGAGACAAGGACAATGTTTTTTAAGAATTTCTCTTGGCGTTTAGTTCAGTGACTTCAATCACCTCTGCAACTTCATTGTATCTTTCTCATTCTTTCTCTCCCAACATGTAACCTAAGGACGTGTTTGCATTCTAATCAATAAACTATGCTTTCATCTCGCCCAAAAGTCATGTTTTACTTCTATTTGCTTTGTTATTTGATCCACTCCTTACGGGAAACAATAAATCAATCTTGCTTTTATCAAACTATATATATATATATATATATATATATATATATATATATATATTATTTTATAAAACTATGTTTAGTTAACCACCATTAATTACATCTACTGCAAAAGTACACTCAAGATAAATAAATAAATAATTTTTTTTAATATGTTTGGCACTCAAACATTCGCTTCAAATATTACCAAAACACGTCTTAGTTTACATGCTTTATACTGAAAAAATTATTAAGAATTATATTATTGAAAACCTGTATTTGAAATACATATATATATACTTTAAAAAATGATTTTCAATAATATTTGATGACAAAATGAAATATAACATCCTCGAATAAATACAAATTCCTTCTGTTGCTTGTCATCCTTACCACTTTTTTTTTCATTAAAGATTTTATAAAATATCGATACTTAGATGAAAATAACTGTATTGTTTTAATCATGTAATAAATATAAAGCTTGCAAATATTTACATACATTTTAATATTTTCAATAGTTAAAAAAAAAAAATTGAAACAAACTTACACAACTTTTCCTAACCAAAACTCACCCCATCTTTGGGTCTACCATGCAATGTCTTGAAGCTTGAAAATAGTATTAAAAGTGAGATGATAATAAATATTTTATCATATTTTTTCTTTCCTTCTCTTATTTAATTATTATTTATTTTTTCATAATTTATTCACTGTTTCTTGCAGCAGATAGAGCATTAGTGATCATTTTTCTCCCAATTGCTATAAATTTAATCTATCCTTTGTCTGACATCCGACATGAGCAGATGTGATACAAATAATTTATATGAACACTTTTCTTCTCTTGAATTCTTAAATATTTTTGATGTGATAATTAATTTAATTTACATTTTATAAGGGGGAGCGAGTATAGATGATTTGAAGTTGAGTGAAATAAATACATTTTAAGGAAATGCGGGTTAGGGGTTGTGTGTGTGATGAGAAGAGTGGGAGAAAGTTGTGGTGTATTGGAAAAGAAAGGAATGTGTATGTTTGAATGGTGATAAATTAGGTATTAGAATGTGTTAATAGAAATATAAGTGAAAAGGAATGGAAGGCTGGGAAAGGAAGTTAGAAGGAGAGAATGCGTTAAAGTTAGTGTGTGGGATTTAAATAAAAGCAAGAAGCAAGTTGATGGTGGAGAGTACGTATGGAAGAGGATGATTGGGATCGGAGGGCGGAGAATGAGTGGGGACAGACAGAAAGGGAAGGAATCTCCGGACAACACGGCAGCAGATGAGATATTGAGATCCGGCGGTGGGGCCCAGGGCAGAGCCCAAGTTGCGCTTTTCCTTTTCTCAGCTCAGCGGGTGAGCGACACGTGTCCCTGCACGGTTGGGAGAGGAGCAAGTTGCAGAGAGAGGGTGACGTGGCTAACGTGAATGTGGTGAAAAAAGCGTAGGTTGTGTGTCAGAGTGAGGTGACGGGTGGTGATAGAGTTATTAGCCCCTACAACGCAACCACCCATTTCTCTTCGACACCTGTCTTTCTCTTCATTTCTTTTCCAACCCATTTCTTCTACCATGCAATAAAATCACATCTTTATAAGATAAATAAAAATTTGGATTCTGAAAATATTACTTTTTTTTTTTTTTAAAGTTGTTGAATGAGTTTCTCAATCTGATTCAAAGATAATAATAACGTCACATAAAATGTATTACCAATCTATTATAACAAAACTACATATCAATAAAAATAATTAATCTAGATGATTTTTTTAATATATTACCAATCTACCAAACTAACGCTCATTACCAATGACTTGTATTAGAAGATCATCAATAATGCTTTATGTTATATATAAGCAAAGTATATTCATATCATATCCCAACATGTGCTCTACATGAATTCAATCAATTGGCATTAATTTGTCTACTTTCATATTTCTTACTATGGGTACCTAATTGGGGAGACAAAACATATTTAAATCCAGCATAAAAGGAATATTACAATCTCTTGTGTATATTTCAAATCAAGTTCATTCGGAAAAATAAAACAGCTTTTAAAAGATATAAAATGCAAATAGTGATTACACCGTTTTACCACCCCTATAATATTTAACCGGTTTTAGTCTTTCTTATTCACCCACCTTCCGTGTAATTCTTCCTCTATTTTGCACTTTTACAACATGGCTTAAAACAGTAGTTAAAAATTTAAAGAAAATCTAAAACAAAAATTGGAACCAATGACAATAACCCCTTTAAAATAAAAATCTCCAATTGAATATGAAAACGTTGCATCATAGCAACGAATTAAAAAAGGACTAATGGTTAACCTACTGAGAAATCCAGTCATAGCATCTGTTTCAACTTGAAAAAGAAAAAGAGTATACCTATTCCTGATCACTACCAACTCACTAGAATCAAAGCAATAATAACTAAAAATACTACCACTGTGCAAATGCAGTGAAAGAAAGAAGAGAACGGTTGAGGGTGGCAAGATAATTCCGCGGATTTCCATGCTAGTAACTGACTGAAAAAAGGGGTCACAGAACAATCTCCCAAAAATCCAGTTTTTCAATTGGAAACGGTATTTTGTTTTGGTCCGCTAGACCGGCCACCTCTCCCTCTCCCTTGGTGATAACCTTCACCATGACCACGACCTCTACCAGAAAAGTCACCACCACGGCTTCCATAATCATTTCGACCATATCCACGACCGCCACCATAGTTCCCCCGGCCCCTGAAGGTGTCATTTCGTAACCCACCCCTGCCGATTGGGATCCTAGGTCTTCCAGTATTGCTAATGCCGCTGCCAACTGAAGGAGAACAAAGAGAATTGTCAACTATAATGGAACGATTTTTAATATTAAAACAGCTAATTCACTCTCTTTGTGGAATGAATTACAACAATGTTATTCGTAATATTTAACCTTCAAATTACCTCGAGTAGTGGTTCTCTTTATCTCGACTACAGCCTGACGCCCCCCAATAGGAATAGGTGAAGCCTGAGAAAATAAACTAACTGTCTTAAATAATGCACAAAGATCTGAAGATTTTTGCATCAAATTCTTAGTAACAAATAGATAAATCATTTAGAAAACAAAGACAACTTCAGACATACTATAAAATTGTGTCTATTGTGACGTGCCAATACAAATTACAACAACTGATCAACTGTTTACTAGACTGGAAAATCATTCTGCATCACATTCCATTGACCTTTTGCCCTGATATAATACTCTTTCCCCTTTAAGGAAAAGGGGAAGGAGAAAATGAGGAAACCACAGATTTTAAGATAATATGTGACCAACAGGGCAGGTCAATGTTACCAACTCATTCCAGTAACACTAGTGAGAAACTGAACCATTTAGAAGCCTGTCAAACAAATGAATGTCACGAGTCTTATTCCCTACAGAAGAGTAGTCTGTTCTAAATGCTTAGATATGTCCAACCAACCAGTTACAGAAAGAGGGAAAAGAATTCAATTCGACTTTTTGTTATGGGTTTATCTCTCAACTTCCCAGATTTAAACCTGAACTAAACCAATACTTACTTTAAACCAAGGTTCAAAGCTGGTTCTCCAGTTTGGATGACCAGCAGCTACACTATTGAATCTATGTGTATACCCTATTCCAGATTTAACAATACTAAAATAAAAACTGGATTATACAACTAATTGAAAGGATCCATAGATAGATTATACAATTAACGCAAGGATAGAGGGTACAGGATGATAGAAACTGGATCAGAAATTAATGAAAAACATAACTTCTTTATTGATATTGTGTATCTACAAAATATTCCCCGAATATTGAAGAAATCAATGCCTTTCTCTGGTCCCAATTCAATTTCACCCAAATGACTAACTCCTCCTCTCAGCCCCTGTTCCTATTTATAGGCAACATGATTTATTTCTTTTACCAACAAACCTTAATTAACTCTAACTAACTTAAGTGTATCTATCTGTCACGGGAAGGTTCAAAAACAGTGGACCAGGGCGTGATTGCCTCAAGAGTAGCGCGCACACACACAAAAAAGGAATTGGTACATTATCAGAACAAGTAAAAAAACTAGAACAAAACTCTCAATCTCAAACAACTGGGGGAAGTTCAGTTATGTGTAGCCTTGTGCACAGAAGTGGAAGGATATGTAGGCAATGTTATCACATGACAGCATGGTCACAAGGCAGGAAAACCTTGTCACTGTGCCACAAGCTAACAATCTAAATCATAAAAAATTAGTAAAAAAGAAAAAATGATTTAGTCAAAAAGAAGATAAAACATTTAAGTATAATTGAATAAAAATTTAGAGTGTGGAAATTAAAGCGTTTCACTCAGGTTGGACTTATTTTAAAAATACACAAGGAAGCATTTTTCCTATTGGTTCATGCATGATCAATGCTTATTGGTCAAACAATACAAGTTTGCTTCCTTTAATTGTTGTCATCTCTAATCCACCTTATTGCAGCCTTTTAGAATTGGTTGTGAATATGTCAAAATATATATATATATATGATATATATATATATATATATATATATATATATATATATAGATATATATAAAACCTATGGAGAGGTTGAATAGAAAGGCTGAGTGAGGCGTTGAAGACCACCAAGACATAGACTCTCTGGGATCGACAAAAGATATTACCTAAGTATTTCTTATTAGACTTGGGCAGCCCTCACCTAAAAGCAGGCTTTGTGGAATTGAATTAAGCCCTAAATCTAAATTCAAAGATGGTCATATAGTCAATCCAGATCCATTGTTGGGCCATCTATATTGCTTTAATTGCAGTCACCCTTAGCCCATCTTAATTACAACCTATTAGAATTGGTGACCATTGTCTCAAAAAGAGCTACCTATAGAGGGGGGTGATTAGAAAGACTAAGTTACCAATTTCTATATGTAACTCATATTATGCCAAATTGTTATCATATGTTGGAGCAGTGACAGATTTATAAATTATATATACAACTGCATCCAAGTTCCAACTTGAAATTACTACCATTTGCAAGCAGCTTCAACATTATATATATAATTAACTTGCATGATTAAAATAAAAAATTATATAAATCTAAGCTATTCACCAATGTGATGAGGACTATACCTGAATCGCATTATTCATTGAATTTAGAGATAGGAACTCCACAAAGCCAAAACAGTATCCCTGCTGCTGTGAAGACAAATAAAATGTTTGCAACAAAGCTGCATTAGAACTGGAGAAAAAGCAAAAAGGTAATTAGAAAGCCCATTAACCTGATAGTCACCTTATTATTTCTGACTTGGATTCCTCCCGGCTTGATGGGTCCAAATTTCTTAAACTCCACTTCCAACTGACCAACCGTCACATTCAGAGGCAGGTTTCGAATGTAAATGGAGTGTCCTTCAACTGCTGGCAGAATTTGTTTATCACAAAGAAGCACAAATATGAAGAAAAATATATGGCTGAGTTGCAAGCAGTGAACTTAATGACTATACAAAATTAAATGATGTGTTGCTTTAATTCATTTTCTCCAAACTTTGAAAACATAGCATGACATGTAAAAATGGAAACAAAGAACATGTACCTTCCTCATGAGCATCACTACTTTCAGGGCTGTTTACACTATCCAAAGCTGCTTCAGGCACTTCATTAGATTCCACTGACTCAACTACCAAGCTCTCATTTTTGTTAGGCCCTGACTTTAATGTATTAGTAGGCACATAAACTTTAGTTGGTACTGAACTCCCTTTTTGGACTTTCACCTACACCAAATCTAATAAGCTTAAAAAATTGAATAATATATGTGCTTGTAAGTGAAATGTTTGAAGCAACTTACAATTGATGCATAAGACTGCTTTGGAGCATCCTCCTGAGCCAAAGAAGCCACTTCTGTGGCCTGAGAATCATCATTGCCATTTGACTGAAAATGGGGTTCTACATTGTCTTCAGTTTCAACAGGTATCTGTCTCTCATGATGATCATAAGCATTTCCAGCAACAATTGGACCCTTGTTCACATGAGAATTTGCAGGGTCTGGGGCAGGAGAATCAGCAACAACACTGGGTTCTGTAAAGAAATAAGAACAGCATAAATGCAACTCTTGAATAAACTCTGTAGCAGAAGATAAAATTTTTTGAATTATAATCTTGCCTGGTTCGGGGGTTACTGTAACAGCAGATGCATCACCATCTCCACTAACTGGAGGCAGTTCTGATGGTTCATGGTCTTCTACATACCTAAAAACATCGTTAAGAACAAAATAGCCATTGTCTTGTGGAGCAAGAAAGAATGACTGCGCAAATTTTCTTCTCATGTTATCCTTGCCAGTCAAGCATCCAGTAACCAGCACAGTCACTCCTTCCTTGTATGATTTTTGAGCATCTGCAGTCTTAATCTCTGCTTTAAATTCCTTGAAATTTAGTGAAAGAATCTTCTCATTAATGCCCTGCACCATAATCCCATAGGCTCAGAGATCAGCAGAAAGCCTGAGATATATCCTCTAAAAACTTACAGAAGCACCATAAAATCTAAATGGATAATGTTTCGTCCTTCTAAACATTGTAAAACACAGGAAAATAGAAGTATAAACCATCATCTACTTGAAGCATATAATATGAGCATGAAAGTGGAAAAAATAGAATTAGCAGTACATGAAAGTCTAGTAGACAGTATGAACGTACAGCAATTTATTTCACTAGCAATTAAATAGCAATGAATAATAATAGATATTAAAAGGTGCCATTACATTATATTTACAATGTTTCTTCTCTTTCAATAAGGCATCAGAGGAATTATTTTTAAGAAATTAAAAGAAATTACAGAGGCACCAGTTTGTATCAAGAAACTTACTTTCATGGTTGTAACTGATGTCATCACACCATTGGAATCAGGACGGCTTATAACACTAGAGTCCTGGTAAAACCGATAGACCAAATCTGGTGAATGGTGAAGAATATGGTAATACTGCTCAACAAATGCATTACCAACAACTTGGGCGCTTGGAGTGGTTGGAGGAGTAGCTGTTTGTAGGGCCATCTGTCCAAAACCAGTTGATCAATATTTGAAACGCGGGAACATCTAGTTACACAAAAATTGAATAAACAAGGTATACAGTTCTATTTAGATCTAAATGGTCTCTCCAAAAGAATTGCTTTTGGACAGAACGCAGTGGTATCATTTGATCCAAGTAATTGATCTCACCTAGTGAGAAAGGGTTATCATTGTTGTTGTAGAGAACAGATATGAGTTATTTTCAAGAAACATAATCCATATGTTCAAAGTTCAAATATGTATTAATAATAAAATAGACCAACAAATCTTAGATACGCGTCTCTCATCTTTAAGATCAACATGGCAAGATTCAACACCACAAAGAAAGGTATACAAAGATATGAACCATATAATTGCTGTTAGGTGCATATAATATTCATATATTGTTTTCGCATAACATGTAGGAGCAACTAGATGAGGCAAATTGAGACAAAAGAGAAGGAAAGGCTAAGTATTAAAAGATGAAGCCTAAATTAACAGACATCGGCTAGCTCGATTAAAGCAGAGGGGATTTGATACTAGAAGCAGTCCTTGAGTAAAGCCTCTTGATTTTACCAAGTTGGAGGCATCAACAATTCGACTTAGTTAAACTAGCTGCTAATCCAAGATTTATTATGCTTTAAGTAACTGACTTTGATTATTAATCTTCAATTTTATCACCACTAAAAAAACATATAGGATACATATATAATCTATAAGCAGTGTTCCCGATCGCAGTTAATGCAGACACATAACCCAGATGAGAATTGGTGTTAACTAGTCAATCGTGAATAAAATAGGTTCAAAAATAAAATAAAAGAACTAGTTTCCACTCCCCCGCGAGAGCTGTGAGAAATTAAGAAACACACAATAAAACTAACAAAAGGAAACTTAGAAAACGACAACAAGACAACCACATTTTCAAAATGAAGTGAGATCACAATCACGTAGCCAAATACATACATTTCAACCAAAAACAATAATCAAATAACCTAGTTGTATTACAGGACTAGCCTCAGCACATTATCCTAGATCCAACGAGAATCAAAATCCTAAAATCTAAACCCTAAACCGAACCCACAGCGCGAAACAAACAACGCCTGTTTGAGCTCAATACCCACACCGAACAAATCAATCATTACCCACAACAAAAAATCAAAACTTGGACGAAAAGAACAAAACTTCACAAAGGAACGCACTTCACTTCGGCCAACAATAACATCCCACAATCACCAAGCCGTCAACAATGTATATTCAATACTACGAGGAAAAAAAAATGACGTCATTGTCGGAACAGCTAACGTAACAATTACCCATTTGCGAAGATTAAAGCATCGGTGAAAGGGAATTAAAAAAAAAAGTGGAAATTGTGAAAAAATGACGGAGACCCAATTGTGAGGAGAGTGAGAAGAGAATGTGGAGTACCTGGGAATGTGGTGGTGGCGGAGAAGGCTGTGATTGTGAAGATGATGGAGTGTGGCAGGAAGTGCTGAAGGAAGAAACCAATGGAAGAGTTTGCCCCACGAAAAGCTCTACCTGTGACTGTGATCAGTGAAACGAAACTAAACTCTTAAAACTCACTGCAAAGTTATCATTTGGGTTAGGTTGATTCTCATATGGTTCGTGAGGTTCAACACTTCTCCAATTTTGGATACTTCGGTTAACAAGTACCAGGATCGAATTCTAAAACTTAATATATAAATTATCTTGATATTATTGTTTTATCTAAGAACTTAACAAGATAAATGATAAATTGCAAATTTTTTAAATTATATATATGATTTTATTTTTATCTTTTATGTCATCTTAATCTTTAATTTAAAAATCCTAATTTTAGTTTAATATTATTTCAATTTAATTGAACCATATTAAACTCTTCCACTGTGAAATTAGAAAAATTATATAATAAAATTGTTATATTTAGTTTGTACAATTTTAACTATTTTTTAATTTATAAAAAATTTCTATCAAACATGCAAAATTTAATATTTAATTAATTACATAATTTTTTTAATGTGTATTAATTTATTAGTTTAACTAATATAGTGCAGAAGATATATATTTAATATTTTACATTATTATTATTATTATTATTATTTTATAATAAATAAACATTTTTTAATTTATAAATATTTTATAATTAAAAAATACATAAAATATTTATATACACTAATAACTTAGTTTTTTAACAAATAATTTGAATTACTTTTAATTCCACTTTTCAACTTTCAAAATTTTGATTTATATATTAAATATATTTTTGAAGTCGATTTAACACATTTATTTTTTTAATTGTTTAAAATAACATGCAAAAACTATTTTTCAATTAGATGATATTGATCATTTTTATTTATTTTATTAATATTAAAATTTGTTTTGATTTAAGATCAACACTTCTCTAATTTTGGATAATTCGGTTAACAATTACCGTAATTGAATCCTAACTTAGTATATAAATATTTCATATCATTATTTCATCAAAATCAATAATTAAAAAAATCTATGATCAATAATTTAAAAAAATCTATGAGTTTGATTTTTCTAACATTTTAATCTTTAAATGAAAAAACTAATTTAATTGAATATTGATTTTAATTTAACTGAACCATATATTAAACTCGTTCACTTACTGCAAATTCAGTAAAGACTTTTAATGAAAAAAAACTTAATATATAAGTTAAAATTCTAGAGAAAAGTGTGTTGAAACGAATTAAGATGCATACTTGTTACTAACAAAATTTAAAATTTAACTAATTTGGTAAAATTTTTAAAAAAGGTATATTAACTCAGTCTGTCACTAATATAATGTATTTGTGTAATTATTATTATCATTAAAGAATAAATAAACTTTTTATTTATAAATATTCTATAATTAAAACAATAATATAAACGTAAAATATATGGTAATAGTTTGAATTCATAAAATATTTTTTCCTTTTTTCTATAAGACTAAAAACGAGATAAATTTATCACTATTTTTTTTAACGTTGAATAATACTCAGAAATAATTTGTTTAAAGTTGATAACAGAGATGAGGATATTTTATTCCAATGAAACAAACTATTTTAATCTGTGAAACAAGCCACTTTTATGTTATTTTGCCTTTCTGCTAAATTTGTTGTGCCCATAGTTTTTGTTTCTTAAAAAAAATCACCCCTACAACTTTTACTAAATAGCTTCTCAAATTTTAATTTACAGCTGATAAGTCACAAGAATAATGCATTTTAAAGTGAAAGTGGTTACCATCAATAGAGTTTGTTGTCAATTGATATAAAGTTTGGTTGCTTAACCCAAATTTGGGATGTTCAAGTATAATTAATTTGGTTAACATTAGTTAGAGATAATTTATATTCTTATGGCCAAGCCTGGAGTTACTTATGAGCTACACAAGCATTGGCGTTTTGCATCTTATAAGAGCATAATAACATCATCAACAGCAGCAGAAAGGAAAAACCTTATAAATGACAAATGACATGTTATTGAACATATATAGTTCCAAATTTAGAGCCAAGTTCTCATAAATATATTCATTCATCGTGAAATTCCTTTTAATAATAGAACATGTGATACAAACCAACAAGTGAACCCGGACCCGATAAGGAAGGATGACCCGAGGAAGCGAGTAAGAAAAAAGCCAAGCATGGATGACTAATTATGTCTGCAGGACAAAATTAAAAGATCCCGATATGCTCAAATTATGTCTACGGACAAAATTAAAAGATCTCGATATGCTCAAATTAATTCCTGAAATTTACACTGCAAATTATTAGTTTAATTCTTGTTTTATTTCCCTAATTTTTGCTTGATTGTTAGCACCCAATTCCTTTTAATAGCTATGATGTAATCAAAGCAGAGCGAGAATAAAAGTTTTCAAGATCATTTTTCCCCAAATTCTATTATTCTCTTTCCCTTAATTTTACGAGGAGTGGACACTCACTCGAAGAGTGTTAAAACCTTTGAGCATTATGCAACAGAGTGTATCATTGGTGCTTTCATCATGGACACAACTAAGCTTATGAGCGCCCTTCAATCCAATATCGATGCACAAATGGTAAAGTTTCGCGAATTACTCGAGTTCCATACCGAGTCGGTTCATTCCACAATCCACCAACACCTGGTAGAAGTTGATTCGAAGGTCGCAAACTTACACGTCGAAGGAAAACAAACCACAGAATGCATTTGTCGGGCGGACGTCACGTGCTGCTCGAAATTAAACGTACCACGTTTTGATGGTTCCAATCTCTTGGATTGGATTTTCCAGATTGAAGCTTTCTTCAACTTCCACGAAACTCCGGAAGAGTCCCGACTTCGGATCGTAGCCTTTCATCTTGACGGACGCTGCTGCTTGGTCTGGTTCCAATGGGCAACACGTAACAATTTGTTACCATCGTGGCCAATTGTTCTCACCATTGTTCGTCACCGCTTCGGTCCAACTCGGTACGAAGACATTGAAGGTGAACTCTCCAAATTAACTCAAACCGACTCAGTAGCTGATTTTCAAGCCCGGTTTGAAGAATTGATGAACAAGGTCAACGGTATCTCCGAATCACTACTCGATCAGCTTTTTCATTACGGGACTAAAAAGCATTTGAGACGGGAATTGCAATTTCACCGACCTCGTTACGTTAATGGAAACCTTCGCCATGGCCGGAGCATATGAGGCCCGTTTTGATGACACACCAACCATAGGCAAATTGTGGTCTCGCGGCCCACAACACTCCATAGGCTCACATACCCAACCTAACCACAATCAAACAAACCGATCCAATTCAAATCCAAATAACCCATCAAACAATACTGCAACATCGTTACCACCACTCTTACCCACACCACACTCAAACCCTACCGTGCGGAACATGCCTTCGCCGAACTCCGAGACCGCCGTTCAAAAGGTTTCTGTTTTAAATGTGATGAGAAATGGAACCCATCTCACCGATGCCAAAACCGCGTGCTTATCCTCATGGGAGCGGATGAAGAGGAACCCCCACCGAATCCGAGGATAACTCAATAGATGATGTCTCGGGTGACATATCCAACCTTCACTCCTTGTCCGACCAACTCCAAAGTCGATCCTTGCGTGTTTCCGGCCTTTATAACCAAACAAAATTCACCATCCTCATTGACAATGGGAGCACTCACAACTTTATCAAGCCTCGCTTTAGTGGAACGATTGGGGTTACCTATCAAACCATGCCCTCGTTTCAAGGTCGCAACTGGTTGTGGATGTTAGTATTATGGTGCTTGATTTAGTCCCACATCGATTAGGATTGGGAGATGAGGTTCTCTATTTTGTTATATAAGCAACCCTATGTAAAGTTTGAGATACACACGTAAATAAAAATACTTCCTAGTGTAGTCGTGGACGTAGGCATACATATTTTAGCCGAACCACGTTAAAATTCTTGTGTCGTTTATTTTTCTCTCCTTTATTCTTTCCTTTATTATTGTCTTGTTCCTAACAATTGGTATCAAGAGCCAATTTTCTTAGTATGCTCGTGGTTGTAGCTTTGTCTCGATCTTCCACATCGAAAAGATTTGGTCTTTTTTCTTGGGAATCTCAGTTTAGAGAAGCGATGGGAGCTTTCTTCGAAAGCAGATGAGAGCAATGGCATTGGAAGAAGGAAAGGTGAGGATCGAGAAGTTCGATGGCGGTGACTTCGGGTTCGGAAGATGCAGATGGAAGATTATCTCGTATCGAAGAAGTTGTATCTACCCTTGACAGGCATGAAGCCAACCGACATGGAGCAATCGAATGGGAGTTGTTAGATCGGCAGACGCTTGGTGTGATCCGTACTGACATTAGCCAAGAATGTTGCGTTCAACATCATGAACGAGAAGACAACCGTAGATTTGATGCGTGCATTGTCAAATATGTATGAGAAGCCCTCTGCACCAATAAAGTGCATTTGATTCGCAGGCTAGTCAACCTCAAAATGGGTGAAGGTAACTCGGTTACTAATCATATTAGTGAATTTAATGCAATTATTGCGCAGTTAACATCGATGCAGATAATATTTGATGATGAGGTGAAAGCATTAATTTTATTATCATCTCTACCGGAAAGTTGAGGTGCAACCATTATCGTAGTAAGTAATTCCGCAAGCAATAACAAGTTGAAGCTTGATAACATCCGTGACTTGATCTTAAGCGAAAATGTTCGCAGAAAAATTCAAGTAGAATCTTTCGGTTCTAATTCGAGTTCAAGCATTGAGTATCGAAACTAGAGGAAGAAGTCGCTGTAAAGGTCGTAATCAAGGCCGAGGCAGATCAAAATCCAGAGGGAGATCACAAGCAAAAGTCCGAATGATATCACTTGTTGGAATTGTCGGAAAAAGGGCCACTTTTCAAATCGAGTGTAGGGCTCCAAAGAAGGACAACAACAACAACAAGAAGCAAGATGATGATCAATCGACAAATGCAAAGAATCGATGAAGTTGAAGATGCACTCGTTATGTAGTTTAGATAATTCTATTGACTCATGGATTATGGACTCAAGTGCGTCATTTCATACTACACCTTCCTTAGAACTATTATCTAACTATGTTTCCGGAAAGTTTGGGAAGGTCTACCTTGCAGATGGAAAATCTCTTGATATCATAGGAAGAGGTGATATTAA